CAGGTGAGCTTTCTGAATGCAGAAAAACACTGAAAGTTAAGTTGGATTTCAAAAAAAAGCACCTCAAAGCACCAGAGCAGTGGGTTGGAGATGAACCAAGAGAAAATTGGAAGGAATCTGGGTGTACAGTGTGCTGCTCCTCTCTGCTCTGCACTGGTGTCATAAGACAGTACAAACATACCACCATTTCTGGGATGTGGCACTGAGGCATTGGTAATGTTATTCAAGGGTCACATAAAATACAAAATAAGCACTCTTTTCCAGATGCCATGGTACTCAGCCTGTTTGCTATCACTGTCTTGGGCTGCACCCTGAAGTGTTTTAGGACACCCTCTTTTTCCATGTGCTCCGTCTCCCTGCCTCTCTGGATGATACCAAAGTTTAATTTTCCTTTGATTTTGCCTCATCCTGGCCTCCAGCAGCACCAAGACCTCCCAGCACAGGTTGCCTAAGCCACCAGAGTTGCTGGCTGCAGGCATACCTTCACAAGGCATTCCTTGGACACACCAGCACCAGGTCTATCTGCAGCAGACCAGGCTCAGGTGTGCCTGTGTGACCAGGCAAGATGTGCACAGAAATGTGTGCACAGGGACAAGGCAGAGCTTTTGGGGTTCCTTCCTGCCATGGCTGTTCCTGACCAAAGGAAAATACTTGTAGTGATAGACAGCACTACTGTGATAGTCACTGGAATAGTCTCATTGGGATGATGGGAGAGCTGCTCTGTGGGCTGGATGAAGTAATGACCATAAAAGAATCCTGTAACAAGATAATGGGCCAAATTAACCAGGATTGCATCTGCCAGCTCCTTATGCAGCATGGAGCCACACAGTGACACATGGTTCCTCACAGAGCAGCTGTGAGCCTCAGAAGCAAGACAGAAGAAGAGAAAAGCAAGAGAAGGTGATGAAGAGAAATAAAATTCGCTGATTCAGCTTGGGCTATCCACAGGCAGAGTCAGTCCCTGCCACAGCATTGACTCAAAGGTGAACAGTGAAGGGACAGGGCTCCTGCCAATGCTCTCTGCACCCAGACAATCATCAAACTCAGGAGGGATACTCTTTTTATACATATGCAGGTAATTAGTTCAGACCTCTGAAAAAAGTCAGTGGAGAATTACTGCTCACTTAATTAAAGAAAATAAAATGCTTAGCCATGTCTAGAGATGTGCAGGCACTGGTAAAGGCCCTGCAAGATAGGGAGCCCTCTCAGTCCTGTGAACTGTTGGTATAGGAGTCAATTCATCTCCAATTTTATGCTTCCTTCCATTCAAACCCTGAGGTGTGCTATCCCTCTGAACCCTAGGATGGAAAACACAGCACGGGGAAGAGATCTCAAGGTAGTACCCAGAAATTAGTGATGGCTGGTACCTCTAGGCTGCTGTTGTCTTCTAGGGCAGCAAAGCACAAATGGTTCAGCCTGTGTCTCAGGAAACCAGCAAAGCTCCATCAGTGGATGTGGGGGACACTGAAGGCCACTTCACAAGTCATCTCACAGGCAAGAGAAAGAGACCCAGCCGCTGCCAGCCAGTGACTCATCCTCCTAAGACTGTTCCAGTGAATCATCTGATCCAGATATCTGCTCCTCTGCATCAGCCACAACAGGACTTCAGCTGTCCTGCTTTGACACATTGGCTCTTTGGTATTACCCATCTTATGTGAGATCTTTAGCAAGATCAAGTCTAGATTTACTAAGCATCTAAGGAGCTACTGAAACCTGACCTTCCCCACAGGCCTTCACACCAGTTTAAGGGTGTTGAGCCCTGGGCTGGGACAGAGGGTTTATGATGTTAAAACGGCTTAGCTGAAGGTTTGCCTTTAGCATATCCCAGTTAAGCACCACCACTCCTCAGTGAAAGAGGGCTGCACGGTAGATGGGACAGAAGCTGGAGGTGTTACTCAAGTCACAAACCACATTGACCAGCCAGGGAAGATGGGCCAGGAAGAGGTGGTTAATTTAGCATCCTTCAGACCAGAAGAAAATTCATTCACTTAACCAACACTTTGTTTTCCATGCAAGCCTTCTTCGAAAGTTTATTATTAATGCAATTAAGTTGGCTTCTCTGGCTACAGCTGGGGTATCTCTACCACTGGTCTGTGTCACTTTGGGTTAGATAACAATATAAACAGCCAGAGCTGGTTTAAATTAGAAGTCTTGGTTTGTTTGAAGGCAGCAGTATGGCTTGCTGGGTGTTTTCAGGTCAGTCATACTGAGTCCTTACCAGACTTTCCCCATCTGTCCAGTAAGGGCTCCTGCTCCAATTTCAGAATTGCACAGAGGCTGAGGTTGTTCTCACAAGGATTGTCTTTTGTCCTGCCCTTAGCAAGAAAAAATTTCCAAGCACTGGTTTTAAACTTCAGTGGGACTTCAGCAGGAGCTCAGGGGGGCAGGATTCTCCTTGATGTGCAAGGTGGGCACATCAGTCTGGCCAGGGTACAGGAATAGGAAATCTCCAAACTGAACATCTCTTATTCTCCCTGCTATAGCTCAACCCATCTGTGACACTGTTTAGTCAGCACAGTATTCACAAACCTATTGGAAAAACAACTGAGTCATAAAAAAAGAGAACCTAAAATCTCTAAAACTCAAGCCCACAAAATGCAGTTACCCTTGCACAGTTCTCTCAGGCTCTGGCAAAGGGCCCTGTGCCAATCAGATTTCACAGGCAGCTAATATCAGCCATACCTGTGGAGAAAATAAACAATTTGTTTAGGCATTTAAAATGGGAAAAAAACCAACAACACCCCACCACCACCACTGTTCCCACAGCTAATGCCATTGTTAAATAAAAAAATACATTTTTAAATAGTTATTGTGCAGGTGGAATATACTTTCCAGTGATACAGTGGAATGAGTTTCTCAGAGAAGTTGTGGAGCCTCCCTCACTGGAGATATTAAAGAACTCTCTGGACACAATCCTGTACCACATGCTTTAGGATGACCCTGCTTGAGCAGGGAGGTGGGACCAGATGAGCCATTTTCAATTTGACCTGTTTCTGCGAAAATGCAGAGCAGCTGATACATGAATAATGCAACCAGTTAGAAAACCTCACAGAAGTTTCTTGCCATTTCAGGACATTGATCATGGGAGATGCTACAGACACATTCAGCAGTATGGATCCACTCTTTCCTCTGCAACTCAGAGAAACAAAAAAATGCAGGTAAACAGGGCCTGATCCTTGAAGGTGTTCCCACAAAGCCCCCAGTGGTCAATGAATCATCTTCAGTGACATGGTAAAGGCTTTTGAATTGTGCAAATGGATTAGGCTTTACAACAAATTTTCTGTAAAACCATGCAACAGTTTATAAGACAATGAAAGGGCAGAGGAACTGTGTGGAGAGGAAGCCATGGACATGCAGGACATCAATGTATCTAACAAAGGCTACCTGTGAATGCCAGGCGAATCCTTTTAACTACATTTAAAAAAAACTACTTTTTCCAAAGAGAATGGATATTTATATTTTTTGAGAAACCTCCTTCTTAGGCAGGTCTTTGCCTGATCCTACTCCTGATGAGAACAGGACAGGGTATTGCAGCAGCTTAGCTGTGCAACGGGCACACAGGGCATTGCAGGTAGTGTCCAGGGGTTGCTTGTAGGCCCCAATAATGTGTGGGGTTTAGTCTGCAAATCATAATCATTATCCTTATCAATGATTTCAATTTGCCATCAGCAAGCCATGGATGTGACAACTCTGACTCATGTTACAGCTATGGTTATGGAGTCTGTAAGTGCAGTGACCTATGAGGGGTCTCTGTATGGTCCCAGACACACGGCCCAGGAGCAGGGCTTCCTTCAGAAGGGACTGTTCTTAATGAAATGTTCCATCCCAATTCAATTTCCTTCACGGCTCAAAGATTGCCTCTTCTAGTACCTATAAATATTCTGGCGATCCTGTCCTTGACAAGCTCATTCCACAAACTGATTGCTGTTGCAAAAGCTGACTTAGGCAGTAAGACCACAAAAGGAAAAATTTTAGACTCAGACTCTTAGCACTTGACTGAATCACACCCACAGTGATGTCCAGCTCCAAAGCTGGCAAAACAGATCAATTGTCTTAAATTGACTTTCCCTGCCATATAAAATTTATCTTGGATGCAGCAGAGTTTCTTGTGTGTGTGCTTGTGGCTAATCTCTTAAAGAAGAGTAGGCAGGAGGAGTGCCAGAGGGAGGAGCAGGCCTGGGCCTGTGCTCCTTGGCTTACATGTTGATGAGCTGGATGGTGCAGGGGTCGGGAGAAGCAAATGACAGCAGCTGACAGTTCCCAAAGAAGGGACATCTTTGCACAGTGCATAGTTAGAGCATGGACGCACTGAACCACAGGATGTTGTGCATGCTAAAAGCTCACACAAGTTCAAAGAGCAATTAGACAAATTCATGACAGAAAAATTCATCAAGGGCTATTAATTGCAAAGACAGAGCCTCTGTTTCAGGAACTCCCTCAGTTGCACACACCTGGGGGCCAGGACAGTACCCTGGGATAGCACAAAAACATGCTTTTACTTCTTGCTAGGCATTTATTTCCCAGCCCTTGGTAGAGAGGGGATGGATGGGCTGAGAAGGGCTGCTCTCATGCCAGTGTGTGGCTGTGAGGTATTGGCCTGGGAATACCACATACCTACACAGGACTTCCTGTCTGTAAAGAGAAAAGGTAGCAATATCATAAGACTCCAAACAAAATTGCACAAAAGAAAGATATTTCTTGTTTTTTGGAGTGTATCTGTAAGCTCTATGGAAGTCCCCAGAAGCAAGATCTATTGCTAATGGGAGGAGGCAGAAAGTGATGCCATTTTGGCTGAGCTGCCCCTCTGATTTGAAGGTACCACCCCTACCTCCTGTTGATTTTTTCTTCCCGGAGGCTAAAACACACATGAATCATTAATAAGCTTGTAGAGTCCATGCGTGGTATCACAGCTTGCGTAATTAATCCCGAGCCAATGTGATTTGGTGAATTAATAAAGCTGCTGTTGCTGGGGTGGAAATTCCTGTTACCTGCAGCAGGGCTGGATTTACTGTTCATCTGCATCTGCACATTTGCAGATGCCTGTGATCACAACAGCTGGAGTTATATACAGGGTATAGTATATCGATGGGGGGAAATATGCACAGAGTAGAAGAGAATGGGAAGAAATGCATCGTGATCCACGGTTTTAGTGGCTCTTCTTTCCAGGAAGGAGGGTTCATCATCACTCCTGCACAGGAGATCAGGTTTGTCATGAGGAGCTTGGGTGTCCATGCACCACTTCTAGAGCCTCAGAGTAAATCTCCAGCACTTTGGTCTTTTGCTCTTTCTAGCTATCCCAGAGGGTTTTTTTACTTAGCACCTTGTCTTAATCACCTTTACCTGGGAGATTCTTCTTGAGAGGGGCAGAGAAAACTAGCCTGGATAAGAGGGAGAAACTCTTTAATCCTAGGCAGGAGAGAAGTCCCTGTCCTCTCATCTCCCTCCATTGTCCATCCAGCAAGTAGATGAGATGCTCAGGTTTTATCTGAGTTCCAGAGCTTGGTTTGATTTCAGAATATTCAGCATGTGCAAGTTACACATGCTCCAGACACTAAGTTTTATGCAAACCCCTCTTCAACCTTTGGCCTGTGATTCCTGCAATAGCATTGTCCAGGTGAGCTGTCTGCATTTGGTCTGAATTTAAGACTGCTGAATTCAAAAATCTGTCCATATCTGAGGACATCAAGACCCTATAGGCCATCTTGTCCTGGAGGGTAATTTTGTTAATTCCTGCTTGGTAGCTGCTAAGGTAAAAGTCCTGGTCCTGCCAGTGATCTAGCCAGATATGAAAGGTCTCAGTAAAATGCTGAGGATCTGGGCTGGAAATGTTGAATTTGATGATACCCCCTGTCCCCATGAATCTAGGACACTAGGTTAGATGTCTGTAGCTGTTCCTGATCTTTTGTTTGCTCTTCCTTGAGAGTCAGCAGGAAATTGTCCATGTGGCCAGAAAGCATGTCTGGCACAGGCTGAGCTGCTGTCCCTCCTCCTGGGTGCAGAGCCCACCTGTGCAATACGAGCCACCCCTGCTTTTCACACCAAGGCAGCTCTGCTGGGTCAAGAAGATGTTGTGTTTTCAGTGAGTGAGCAAGAAAGGAGTCATATAAATACAGTCACACAGCTTCCTTTCCCAACACAGGTTTCACAGACTCCTCAATCACCATTTGCCAGATATGGTCAGTCCAGTCAAGCAGGAAGGTCTGAGTGTACACAGCTGTGCACTGCTTGAAGTGCCCTTTTCGCTCTTTTTCCTTTTTTCTTTTTCATATTTTTTCTTTTTTAATACATTTTGGTTTCTTTTGCAGTCAAAAGTGAAACCTGAACTTGAAGTATTGAAAAAACAGCACAGAAATGGAGAGCTTACAAAAAACCAGAGCGATAAATTCTCTATCAATGCTAGACTTCACACTGGTATCTGGTAAGTGATAGAAAAACTCCACAATATGTCCTGAGCAACCTTTTGCTCACCATCAAAGGAAGGAAAAATGTTATTTGTCCTAAACAGAGATGTGGTAAAAATAGAAATCGAATCCTAGGCCATATTTAGCATTTCAATTAAATGACCTCATTTTTAACAAGCGTACCTAGATGATTCACATTTTAGAAAAATCAGGCTATATGCAGAGCTGTCCAAATGGGAAAATTTAGCTTGCCTAGATAGAATTGGAAGATTAAATGTGTCCTGTGTTCAGATCTTCACACCATTGACCAGATTTTAGTGGTGGTCTCTCTGCCATTCTTTGCTTCTGCTTTTTCCAATAGATGTGGACTGCAATCTGCCTTGTGCTACAACAGCTTCATAGCTGTCCCCAAAGCTAAGAGAAAGGAGGTGAAAGGCAGCCCAGCCAGAGCTGTTAGATCTAGAAGAAAAGGGAGCAGCACGTGCTTGAGAGGCCAGCTGAGATCAGGGAGAAAACAAGAAGTAAGGCAACCACTGACAAGGTAGGAGGAAATAAATCTGCTGCAGGAGAGCAGGACAGTCCTGGATTGGGGCCTGGAGGCATGGCGGCATCTCCATCCTTGGGGACCATCTACCATGAGACCTGACCTGACTGTGAGGTTGTGAGGGAGAGAAGGGGCAGAGAGACCCCAAGACTTCCCACCTAAACCCTCTGTCATTTTCCAAACCTGTGAACTTCCTACATCTACCCCAAAGGATGGGGTTGAATGCACCAGAAAATGAAACTTTGGAAGCAAAACTTTGGCCCTAAAATTATCACAGAAGTGAGCTGTGGAAACAAAATGATTGTATTAGCAGACTGGCTTGAGCATTACTATCAGCCTGTCTGACAGAATGGACAAATATTTCCTGCAGAGTTAATAGAGCTCTACCGGGTGGCTCTTAATAGTTGTTTATTTTATTTTTCACTGTTCATAATAAACCTCTGTGCATCTGAAAATAGCTCTCTCTAATTATTGTGTGAGTACCTGTGCATTATTAGTGTGCATGGGTGTGTTTGTGTGTGCTGATGACACCTCAGGTATATGTAGAGAGCTACTCAGCTTCATTGAAAAATGTGTATTTACTAAGAAATCTGAAATGTTCCTGGTTCACAAGAGTTTCACCAAATCCAAAACTGGGTTAGCACATGATTGAAAACCTTGGTAGTCACTGCCAGATCTCTGCCTTTGGGGGCACATGTACAAAAGAAATCTTTCAAGGAAGGCACAGGACAGTTGAATAGAAAAATCAAAAAATTAGTGTGGGAGGGGGGAGGGCTTGCTGTGATTCATACCAAAATCAACCCTCAGAAAAATGATGGTTCACCCTGAACGTGCAGCCTTGCTGTTCTTTTACAGAAAGACTCCAGTCATGTGCTCTGCCATCTCTCGAGATTTTTGTCACAAGTTGCCCTCCTGATAAGATTAAAGATCCTGACATGTAAAATGAGACAAAGAAGATGGATATGGTGGGCTGGTGATTTCCAGCAATAAATCTGGGTGCTACATGAAAGTGTGTTAAGTAAAATACAGCATGTCTTCTAAATGAGCTAGTTGTTTTTCATTTTGGTTAAGACATTTCAGTTCATCGAGCACCTGCACAACAGCTGGGCTGACTTAGAAAAAACATGTGCTCAAAACCAGGATTCAGCTCAAGAGTGGTCAGGGGCATGGGGTGACCTGAGTAACAAATTTGACTCAAAGTTTTGCACAGAGTTGGGTCAATGGAGAGAAAATCAGCGCTGGGGAAGGAAGATGGGTGAATGCTCATCAGTGGACAGCAAACAGGGAGCATGTATGTTTAACTGAAGGTGGTCAGATATTTTTAAAGGAAGCCTGGCTGAACCCCACATCTTTACTTTTGCCTGGTTGAGTGCAGCTGAAAAAGTAGTCATGGGCAGATTTGCACCTCATGCATCCCTAGGAGACTACACCAAGGACTGCCCCCATCCTAGGTAAAAGCAAATTAAAAGTCAAGGCCAACTGAAGATCTTTTCCAAGTCCAGCACAGTATCTGGATTTTATCTCTAAGCCCACCTTAAAGCTAGACTATCCCCTTAAAGCTAGACTATCCATTGCACAGCATTAGATGTGTTTATTTCTTTCCACTGCCTTTTTACAGGAGATTGATCTCTGGAGGGACCATATATGCTGGGGTATACTGCTACCTCTTTATTTTGTCCAGGGGTATCAGCTGCAGCATGTTTTCACCTTCTTGAGCTCTTCACAATGAAGTCCAGGACTGGAAATAATGATGCCTGCTGAGAAATGTGGGACCAGCTGACTACATTGTTCAATGTGGCCTTCGTTGTCTTTTTTTTCCTCAGAATTAGGAACGTGAGCGTAATGTCAAAATGGATGAGTTTCCCATGGGATAATTCTATCCAGCTCTGAAACACCCTTATTTGTGTCCAAAATACCCCTGGTCTTTGAGCTGCAGCATCAACATTTCCTTCCCACTGAAAAGATTCAGGATTTTTTTTTGGAATTGCACGCATGGGTTTGAGCGTGTGGGTCATATGTGCTGTCATTTGGTGATGGGGCAAGTCTGACACTGCCAGGGATGTTGTTTCCTGTTTAATGAGTTTCTGTGTGTGCACTAGTGTACCTGTGAAAGAAAAGACAGAAACGTGATCTTAACTCTGGTGGGGCAGGACACTTTCCATCCCTGTAGTAAGCTGCAGTGTGGGTCTCTGGCTGCCTTACAAAAGCCTTACAAAAGCCTTACAAAGGCTGTCTCTTGCACTGTCTTTTCTCTGGCTGGTATGCTTTAAGCACCACCACTGCCAGATCACATTCTCTAGAGGAAGCAGAGAAATACCAGCAGACAGCTCAGCATTCAGGATAGGTAACAGCATCCTTGCTCTGACTTGACTCAGACAACTGAAAGCCAAAATAGTAAAAAATAAAATTAGTGCCATCCAAGTCCCCATGACCTGCAGGCAAACACTGTTCAGTGCCACTGTGCTGCTGGCAGAGCAGCACAGAACTCATAATTTAGCCCCAAAACTTTGTCTAGCAAATCAGCAAAAGTGCAGGATGCCCAGCTAATGGTTCTATAAGGACTGGGTACCTGAAAAGAAAGGACCTTTCAAAACAAAACCAGGAGCATTTATGTAATATGGGTAACAGGAAGGTCTCTAAATTTTAAAGGATGCAAATGGACAGAAAGAAAATCACTCCTTCACCTTCAGGAGTGGTTCTGTGCCCAGCAAGAAGGCTAAACCCCTTCCTGGCATGATGTTTCTCTTAATTTTCACCAAACAAAAGAAGTTGAGCTGGTGTCAGTCTGCACTGTGTGCATGTCTTGGGTCTCCTGCACAGCCTGGAAGGGGCTGGCAGAGGAAACCCAGGGTCAGTTTCTTGCTCTCTCTCCCCCAGCCCACTGCTGGGAAACACATCGTCTTTTCAGGAAATGGAGAATTGGTCACTGAATGGAGAAGAGGTGTTTGAAAGAGGAGACTGGCACAGCAGCACCAAACCCACTGAGATACAGAAGCTGGCTTTTTTTTCATGTAGTCAAACAGCCACACAGGAGCTGACTGATGAGTTTGTAGGCATCTTGAAAATCCTCTTAGAATGTGCCTACCAGTCTGCTCTCCTGAAATCCACCTGGCTGGAAGCACCCCCAAGCACTTCTCCACTCCCCATGGTGAACCGCTGCCGCTGCCAGAGCACAGGTGAGAGCACCACCCAGAAACAAGGTGCTGGGGAGGCAAAGTGGAGATGAAATTTCCTCTGACCTATTCATGTTGACTGTGAGTGAGGGGAAGGCCCATCCCTTTGCAAGCAGCTCCCCAACAATCCCAGCTTCTCAGATATCATCCCTTGAGATCTACCACTGGCTGGTCCAAGCACTGAATCCTGTGCCTCACAAAAATACATAAATCATGCAAACAAGTGACACAATCCAGCTCATAGCTGGTACTGCACCTTGCTCTGTCCTGCAATTCTCTACAGAATGGTGTCAGGTCAGTTAAGCACCATTTCCTCTTTGTAAGTCTGTGCTGATGTCTCCTGACCACCTTCTCGTCTTTCACGAGCCTGGAAATTATTTCCAGGATTAGTTGAGGTGAGGATGGCTGCCCTGAAGTTCACTATATCTTCCTGAGGATGGGTGTGAGTGGACAGAAAGAAAATCATTCCTTCACCTGCAGGAGTGGTTCTGTGCCAATCAAGAAGGCTAAACCCCTTCCTGGTGTGATGAAGAAAGCATTTGCTTTCTTCCAGTCTTGAGGAAATGCTCCCAGTAGCCACGATAACTGACACACTGAAGGTGGGGGATGTGGTGGATGTCATGGTGGCCCTGGATGTCATGCTTAGCGGTTCCTCACCTCTTCACTGGTATTTCCTCAGCCAGACTACACTAAAAACCAGAGCTGCTGAGATCTTACACAGTTTTGACCTCTGATACCGAGGATTTTCTTGTCCTGTGTGCTGCTTTCTCTGTAAAGCAGAGAGCAATGTGACATGTTACTCCAAGCTTTGCTGGGACAGGGTTTGCAGCTCATTAGAGCCTGAGTTTGTCTTTAATTGACCCAGAGGCTTGAATTTAAGCTCATAGTTAGGGACATTACTGGATTTGGATCTAAGGGAGTTAGAGACATTGCTGCTGTAAATTATGCCACTGCTTCTCCTGGCCACTTCTACAGTCTCTGTTCTGACCCACACTCCTGACTGCCCCTGTACATATATGTGCCCCCCTTTGCAGAAATAAGAGCGGCACTTTAAACCTTTAAGGTAATTATTGGTTTAGCTTCAAAGCATATACACCCTGCCTAAAAGAAGAGTTTTGCGCTCACACCCAAAGCAAGAAAAGCCACATGGGGATCTCCGGAAGAGCTAAAGGAAAATCTCTTTAAAAGCCTCGGGTTTTGAGAAGATGAATAAACATAGGAAGTCAGCTGTTTGGTATTCACTCTGGGCTCTCTGTGTTTTCTAAGTGCCTACCAGCCCCTGAGGATGGAGCAAAGGCTGACGTGTCTGGAGGGGTTGCTGAAATGATGAAGCTTTTACTTCTACATAGAATTACAAAGCTACGGCCATGTGAAAAACAAACATGGGAAATCTAAAGAACAGAAGAAGAAGCCACAAAATTTGGCAAGAAAGACCTTTTCCATTTTGTATTTTCCATGAGCCACGATCCTGCATATTACTGCTTTTTTAATATTTCCTCTTGATCCCATTTTTGGCATCTACTGGTTTCTGATAGACTTTACAATCCTCACTCCTCCCGACAAACCAAATCAAAGACCAAATGCCAGTCCTACCCCGTAGAGTTCCTGGACTGGACAGATACTTTGGATCTGAAAGCAGATCCATGGGCCATGGAGCTTGGCAGGCATTGTTGGGTCTCCTCCACACACAGGGCAACACGTGAGGAACAACAGAGCCCTGCCAGGGCTGGGCGAGAGGGAAGGCATGTAGCAAAAAGACAGTCTCCGTGACCCATGTGGGTGGATTTGGCTCCTTTCTTTGGAAATGCTATTGACAGAGACAGACACTCCCTCTGGATGCTGCGAGCCAGGCTACCAAACCACCCTCACATGTGCAACGTGGCTCTCTCTGCTTCTACCAGCCAGAGGCTCCCACGGGCAGTTCGCCAAGGATGGAAGGCAAGGGAAGCAAAGGTGGCATTAGGGTCCTAGGCTCTAGTCTGTGGAGTAACAGTTTCAAAAAAAAAACCATGGAAAAAGCAAGGTTTAGACCTACTTTTTGCCCCATTCCCCACTGGTGGATGATCTTAAAGGGATTTTATACCCTCCTGCCAAAGAACTGGGAAGTCTTTGGGAAAAATGCCTACACTATACAGCAGTGTCCAGATGCACACTGTTCAGAGCAGCATCTGCCAGGATGAAGGTCCCTCATGCCCCTCTGATCCCCCAGCTAGGATTTGACCTCACCTTGGTGATACAGCCAGCAACACATGTGTTGAAAAGCCCCA